AGGAGCCCCATGATGATGATGTTGTTGTGGACGTTGTTGTTTGGTTTGAGGTTGTGCGGCACAGCGCAGCGGCGCTTATCAACAGCGCTTCGGCCATCATTGCGGCATTCGCTTAACAAGGCTGCCGCATGTTTCTACTTAGGAAAGATGAGCATTGCCTTTCCGCCCCACGACAGTTTCTTCCATGATATTCTTAGCTGTCACAGTACATATGCAACTGAATGAAGATATAAGGTCCGACAGCGCTTACTGAGTGCTCAGAAGAGGCAACCCATGCAGTTTGGTGGCGCTGAGGCTTTGGAACTCGGTCTGTGGATCGGTTGATTAGGTCCATATGTATTGCTGTCCAAAATGTTTGCCGTGAGCGCTGATGCAAGAGGAAAGAATAGGAAAATGGTGCGCTGTATGCAAATGTGCTGCTCCAACTCCTGCGAGGCAGCCTTTAAACTGTCAGACCTCCACTTTGTCTTCCAGTGACACAACAGCTGGTGTTTTTGTTTCTTAACGTTATTCGCAGCTCTCTTGTTCGCTTTTCGGTCCAATATTCAAATCTTGCCCATGGCCCCTGCTCTGTGTGGACTTGAGAAAATGTACAATGGAACGTCTGCCAACGACTTGACTGGCTGGGTACCTGAGTCATCAGGAAGAGGCACCATGGACATCATTACCTCGTGCTTCTTTACGATTCTCATTTGCACATGGACAGTCATCCACCCTCGCGTCCTTACAACGCAGCGGATAGCTCGACTACACAAGCTTGCTCAGTTGGTCAAGACCATCTTGGCCCCGGAAATGATATGCCTGGAATCGCTTCAAGAGTGGGTCCAAGCAAGGAAAATGGTGAAGCGCTCGTCGCATGCAACACAAGATGGCCTCAAAATTGTGCAGGCCTTTTATGTTGGGATGCTGGGAATCCGATACCGAACGCCGCATGGGTCAAGAGCTCTGTGGCCCAGTCAGTACACCTGGCTTCTCAATAATGACCTTGTGAAATGGTCAGACCGTGATGCCTGGGGACTGTCCGAAGACGTCATCCAAGACAAGAGCAAGGCTGACGGGCTGGTGAAACTTACCGCTGTCATCCAAGTCACCTGGTTCCTCCTCCAGTGCATTACGCGCGCCGCCCACGATCTTGCGATATCCCCCCTGGAGGCCATGACCTTGGCTTACGTCTTCGTTGTCCTCATAACCTACCTGTTCTGGTGGCTCAAGCCCAAAGATATTACGACTGTGTCATTCGTCACTCTCCCATCCATGGATCGGACGCAACAAGAAATATTTGATGCCCTGGCCATGGAAAACACTTACGACGATGACGATCGAAATCCCAAGCCTTCAAAGAATATTGCTTGGTACTTGGTCAGTCGCGACTGCAAAGACGAAGACTGGATTGCGCTCAACCAGCCGCCTTCAGACGCGGATGCCGAGGCCGCAGAAGAGCGGATTGAGACTGCAGCCGAAGAGATGGAGGCCGAATCAAAGCGAATTGACATTGCAACCGAAGAGAAGGAGGCCGAAAAAGAGCAGGTTGAGACTCCAACCGAAAAGGGGGAGGCCGAGGATGTTGGAAACACCAATGAAGAAATTCTGCCAAAATCGCGAGCAACCACGGTCGGTCAGATGATCCAGAGGTCGAAAACGGATGCCACGGTCATCATTACGCAATGGGATAAAGACCTTTACCTATCGAGGCTATGGCCGCTGATATGCATCCTCGGTGCTGCATTTGGAGGAATCCACCTCATTTCGTGGAATTCGATCTTCCCAACCTTACTGGAACGATGGCTTTGGCGGGCAAGCGCCTTGATTTCTGTGGCAACGTCGATAATCTGCATGCAATTCGAGGCCATGTCAATGAAATGGGATGGGCCAATGACCATCATCCGGGTTTCGAGCCCAATACTGTATGTCGTTTCCCGGTTTGCGATGATGGGAGAAGTGTTTGCGGCTTTACGAGCTATGCCCAAAAGCACTTACGACACGTTTGAGTTGTGGAATTCTTGGTTTCACATTGCGTGAGACCCGTGTAGTCAGGTAGGAACTGGTATTGCCAGGTGTCCGTCTGGAAATGCTGATGAGGTGGTGTCCGACATTGTCGGAAGAAGAGAGCTTATCGCGTAAATATGGCAATCTCATAGCCGTGGAACGTTCCAACGAAAACCAGCGTCTTCCGATTTGTCTTCCGATACTGAAATCACTGCTCTTCCCCAAATCTTTCTTTCGCAAACGTCTTGCAAGGCTTTCGGTACATTTTCCAAGCCTCCATAGACTTGTTTGTAAACAACTGGCCGGATCTTGTTTTGTGAGATCAGTGCCATAGTATTTTCCCATATGGCGGAAGTTGCTGCAGGGTTGCGGCGAGACTGCTCTCCGAACCGCTGCGGAGGAAAATTGAACATGAGTAGGAGAGAAGCCGAAAGGGGTGAGGTGTGCACTTACATATCCAATAACGCTCGCGCCCTGGAGCAAGACTTTGTTCATGCTCACCTTCTCCATGATACCTCCTCTTGCAGCAAAACCTACCACCAAGATTCTTCCGCCGTACTTTAAACACTTCAATCCATCTTCGACAGCTCCAATCGGATCGAAAATCACATCCACCCCAGAGCCTCCTGTCAGCTCCAACACTTTTTCCTGCCATTTTTCTTGCCTGTAGTCGACCACTTTGGCTCCCAAGCTCTTCATAACGGCTTCTTTCTCTGCGCCACCTGCAACACCAATAACGTTGGTCGCTCCCAACGCTTGCGCGACTTGGGTAGTGGCAACGCCCAAGCCGCCGCTTGCACCAAGCACCAAGACACTCTGCCCTGCACTTACATGACCACAGCCTTCTCCTAACGCTCCATACGCAACGGCGGCGCTCCCACCGACCGCGCATGCTTCGGCATTAGTCCATCGTTCTGGAACAGGCCTGACCTGCAACTCATCGACACAGATCTCCTCTGCGAAGCTGCCGAGCCCGAAGCCAAAAACGCGAGTGCCGGGTCGAAAAGACGAGGCGGGGAAAGCGCACAACACAACACCGGCAAACTCGGTCCCGAGGATGAATGGCGGCTTGACATGACGGCGGTTGTTCTGGTGGCGGCCTTGGGCATAGATGAGATCGACGTGCGTTATGGCAGCGTGCGTGACGCGGATGCGCAACTTGTTGGCTTCGCATTTGGGAGACGGAATGGTAGAGACACTGAGGTCGGAGAGACTCTGCACGTGGAGTCAGGGCGGTGGCGATCTCGAAACTAGATCAGCTTACTTTGACCCAATGATCTATCAAGATTGCTTTCATGGTGACAGCGTTGTAAGCTTTCCGCAAATATGGATGCCTTCAGTTGCTCGCGGAAAACTTCATCTGGGGAACGGGAGATCGACAGCGGGGTGGGATAGCCGAGGCTCTGGTTCCGAGGCTTGGTGACAGAGTAGTCGGTCGCATACCCTGGAATTGGAACATTTGTCGTATGGAACAATTCGCAGCTTCGAGAAACCGTAGATGAGAAGAAGTTTGGATGTCGAGCTCCCACCTCAAGACGCAGGTGAAAAATGGGTGTTGCATGGAAGAATTCGGTCCCAATGAAAGAAGAGAGACTAGGAACAGTCAAGAGTCTTGGAGTGACAAGCGATTGGTTCGTGGAAAGGCAAGGGAGACCCTTGAAATCCCTTGCCTGGAATTGCCCTGCAGCAAGTCTATCGACAAATCAAATTTCGCTCCCAGAATTCGATCCTGGAAGAGAATGAGCATCCGAAGATTTGAGCACTACACAGTCCACCAAAGACGCTTCAACACGCCCAACCGCCGTCAATCGAATACGTCGCTCCTGTGATGAAGCCAGCCTCGTCGCTAAGCAAATAGGAGATGAGGCCTGCAACCTCTTGAGGCGTCCCTATGCGCTTGATGGGCGTTTGGATCTCGTTCTTGTGCTCAAGCTGAACCATTCTGGTGTCTATGGCGCCCCTGATCACAGTCAGTACGCTGAGAGTTGGAATCGACTGGGTTCGACGTACGGTGCGACGGCGTTGACGCGAACATTTCTCGCGCCGTTTTCTTTGGCCGCACTCCTCACCAGGCCGATGACGCCGTGCTTCGCTGCAGAGTAGGCGGCCGAAGTTGGGAACCCGAGCCGACCTTGAACGCTGGAGATGCAGACGATGCTTCCTCCGTCCTTGATGTTTCGGAGTTCGGCACGGAGGGAGTAGAAAGTTCCCTGAATATCATCAGTCAAAGACACTTGCGCTAAAAAGGAAACGACAAAAGAACCGAGAGATTGGTATGGAGAAGTGTATCCCAGCGCTCGTCTGAGGTATCTTCAATCGTTGGCGCCCCAGATTACGAGCAGTTTCTTCCCGCAGAGTTGACGGCAGCATCCAACTTCCCAGCCCACTGGACAGTGTTGTCGATCCAATCGTCCACATTTTGTCGATTTGTGATATCCAACCTCTGGAAAAATGCGTCTCCTCCCTTACCAATGGATTTGATGTACTCCTCAGCCTTCTCGAGTTCGGCCTTGTCGATATCACCGATTGATACCCTGGCCCCACGCGAAACCAGCATCTTGGCGGGTTCAAAGCCAATGCCTTGAGCACCACCAGTAATAGCAACGACTTTTCCTTCCATGTTTTGTTACTCTGTACCTCTTGAGCTTTCCAATAGAGAGATTGAGAGGTGAGTTGGCGAAGAGCGAACCGTTCTCTGTCGCCGACAACCCTGCCATCAACCCCGCACGCCTGGAAATCGAGTTCCACAAAGGTGGAGCCTACATAGCTGGCAGCCGGACCCGTTTGGACACAGGGCCAACAATCATTCCTCATTACAGCTGCCGAACAATGATGATTAGGCAAAACGTTGGCACGTGGGTGCGTCAGGCGCCGCCATGAAAGCCGGCGGAGGATCGATCCCTCACCTCCGGAAACCCACTTCGGGGTATCCGGTCCTTTTGCTGCGTTGTTGACAGCGACGATTTATATGTAGAGTGTCGGTGCTGTGCCATATAGCCAAAGCGAGCCGCAACGGGTTGGTGGTGGAGTGGAAATATGCGCCGTGGCTACAGTCGCGCCCATGGCGAGTCGTAGGTTCAAGTCCTGCCCAATCTGCGATTCTTTTTGCCCGATTTCGTTTTTGCTCTGAAGAAGAGAGTGGTAGCGAGTCTCAAGAAGGGAAAGGCCAGGGATACTAACCAGCGTGAGACCTGCTTGCGGAGTGGTTAAGAAAGCAAGGCTTTGTGGGTTTATCAGGTAAACGTGCTGCTCTCACAGTGGTACTGGGTTGGTGGTGTAGTGGAAACGCGTGCCGTGGCTACAGTCGCATCCACGGTAAGTCCCAGGTTCAAGTCCTGGCCAACTTGCGCTCTTTTCTTTTTGCAACTGATCCCAGGCGTGAGGAATCTCCGGTAGCGAGGCTTGAGAACGGCAAGGTCGGGGCCTGACCAGGTTTGCATCCTTTGTGTCTCCTTGTTTGGGGTCTGTCGACGTGTTGCAGATTCGGGTCCATAACGTGTCAAACCTGCCCTCCTAATACGAAGGGAATTGGTGTACTCGATAGCAAATGCGCGTCCACGTTGCAAATCAAGTCTAGGCCAACTCGATTCTTTTCCAATCAAACTTACCTTGTCCTGGCATCGAAGCCGGATACATGCCGACCAGTCGTTTTGCTTCGTGTGTCCAAATTGCACTGTTCCTCAATCTCATCAAGGTTTTTGAAATACAAGGGTTTGCAATCGCCACCCCGAGTATCCAGCGAGAACGGGTTGGTGGTGTAATGGTAACATGTGTCACGGCTACAGTCGCTCCCGCGGCAAGTCCCAGATTCAAGTCCTGGCCAATCTACGAACTGGAAACGTTTTGAGGGTCTTTCTTTCTTTGCTGCTGGCAGTATCTTGAAGAGTGGTAGCGAAGCACGTCCCCGGGGCTGGCGGTGCGCGCTTGCGGTGTTTCAGGAGACGTTGGGCCATAGGGAACGCACGAAGACTGAAGAAAGAGACGGAAAATACCTCAGCTTACGGCTGTCTGCATCTTCACTTTTTGCGCCGGGACTGTTTGGTGTCAGTGATATCCGCGACAATGTTCACCGGTGGGCGGCGGCCAAAAGCGTGAATGACGGCCGCAGAATTGAGATGGAGAGGGAAGGCGGCATGGATGCTCCTATGATCCTATGAGTAGGAACCGAGGACCACCAAGGGACGAGAGGCAGCTAGACGCTTACCTGCTATATTTGTGTCAGGTTGGCTCTCGGCATTTCCAGAAGCAGACAGAAAGCGCTTACCAGCACCGATCTTCCCAGTGCTACGTCGATAAGCGAGCAGAAATAATCTGCGTGGCGGGCGTAAGCGCGTGGCGGAGCGGGCCGCCACGGTACGGATGTAATTTCGGGCTGCGATATCCGCCTGCCCAGCTCCCACGGAATCCGCGGTAACCATCAAAGCCAAGATTCAAGCTTTTGATGAGCGGGAGAACTGATGGAGGCAGATTTCACTCAACCCCAGAATGAATACAAGGAGCAATGGGTAGTCTGCCGACAGAGGCCGCGAATGTGTATGCTTGCTCGCAGCTTTCAGTGTCGTTGCAATTTTGAGAAGGCGAGAACCAGTTTTGAGATTGGATCGGGAGTATGGACGCAGGACGCCGGAGAGCCCAGGAGAAGATTTCGGATTTGTTCACTGCTGTCATTCGGCAATTTTCTTCATATTCCTGTCGCTTTGCTCCTGGCCGGGATATTTCGCCACATTGAATGAGGAATACCAAAACTTTCGAACGGAAGCCGGTTGGGGAGCTTTCATGGCATTCCGTTGACACCGCGGTCTTGTGAAGGACGAGTTCCCGCACAGAAGTCTTGTAAGTCTTGAGGGGATATTGGAATGAAGAGAGCTGGTGTCAAATGACCAGAGCAGATGTGCCGTCTTACTCAAGAGACTGACCATCCAGAACCAAGAGGCATCCCTTCTGGGAAACTCTCAGTCATACTCTGCGGTCTTATCGCTTCTCTTGACCTGGTCTATGCGCACTCATCAGGTTGATCTTTTTGAGCCGACGAGATTTTGTGTAGTCCAAAGAGGTTCCTGGAAGAGTCATCTGGACTCTATGCAGTCATCACCTTGCCGCAGCTCTTCAAAAACCGGTCGATGCGGTAAGCGGGGACGCTGTGCACATGCGGCGTCGCCATCGTAAGAGGTAAGCCAATGATACTTTTTAAGCACTTCCACGATATGCGAAGGGGTTGTATGCGAAGGGGTTGTTCACGAAGTGTTGCAGAGCAATGGACAAAGTATGGGGTTTTGTGTCGTAATGACGAAGAGATGAGGTCGGCTGGTCAGGTCTGACAAGCGAGCTAATCCCAGTCGCAGATCAGCGCCATGCCGCTTCGAGAAGTTCATCGGGCCGTAAACCGGTGATAAGCGACCATCTTGTTCAGCCCTCGCGCACGTCGCGCGCCCTGCGACAAGAGGCCCTTGCATTCAAACGACTCCGCGTCCATCCCACTTACAAATATCTAGCGTCGCGCCTCATTGTCTTGCATCCCGCAGCTCCAGCATCGTTCTCTCGCATCCAATTGCTACTATACAACCGCCATGGCCCCCCACAACGTCGAGGTCGAAGCAATTACCGACACCACGGGCGTGCCGCTACCGGACCCGCTGACGGCTCCCATGCCCATCAACGACATTCGGGGCCGCCGCAAGAAGGCTGAGAAGTCGACCTGGGGCGTCGCGGCCCCCGCCAACAGCGAGCGCTTCAAGAGCTACTCGCACTCTCACAAGCCCAAGGCGAAGAGGTGGGATCGTAAGTCCGTAATGCGCCCTGCCTCTCAATGTCTCTCTGCCATAGCAATTGAGCGGCCATTGCGTGATACGGATGCTAATCTACGCAATCGGCCTGTCTAGACTACATTAGCACCGAGTCCAAGTCGCGAAAGGGCAACTCGCTGAAGAATGCTGCCAAATACCTGGGCAAGCCCGGTCTGATCTCTCTCGGAGGAGGCCTGCCCTCGTCCGAGTATTTCCCATTTGACAGCCTCGACTTGACCATGCCGTCCGCGGGCAAATACAGCGAGCAAGAGACCAAGGAGGAAGGTGTCAAGGTCCACGTAGGCAAGCATGATCTGGCCGAGGACAAGAGCATTTTCGATATTGCCACGGCTTTCAACTATGGCCAAGGTCACGGCGCGGCGCAATTGCTGCGCTGGGTCACTGAGCACACTGAGCTCATCCACAACCCTCCCTACGCGGATTGGGCGTGCCACATGACCATTGGCAGCACTTCTGCCCTGGAAATGTCGCTGCGCGTCTTCACTCAGCCCGGTGACTACATCCTGTCCGAGGACTACACATTCGCGACGGCAATCGAGACGGCAGCGCCAATGGGAGTCAAGGTCGCGGGCGTTAAGATGGATGAACAAGGCCTGCTGCCCGACAGCCTAGACCAAGTGCTCACAAACTGGGACCCTACCGCGAGGGGTGGCGCTCGCAAGCCGTTCGTACTATACACTGTGCCATCTGGCCAGAACCCCACGGGCGCCACGCAGGACGCAGAGCGCCGACGGGAGATTTACAAGGTGGCGCAGAAACATGACCTCTACATTTTCGAGGACGAGCCGTATTACTTTCTGCAGATGGACCCTTACGGCGGCCCGGACGCCGCCACGCCGGAGCCGCCAGCATCTCACGCCGAGTTCTTGAAGGAGATCGTTCCCTCGCTGCTGAGCATGGACGTCGACGGCCGCGTCCTGCGCATGGACTCCTTCTCCAAGGTCGTGTCGCCGGGCAGCAGAGTTGGCTGGGTCACGGGCGCTCAGCAGATCGTGGAGCGGTACTCGAAGCACGCGGACGTGTCGACGCAGGGCCCGAGCGGCATGAGCCAGTTGATCCTGTTCAAGCTGCTCGACGAGCACTGGGGACACTCGGGATACATTGACTGGCTGATTCATATTCGCAAGGAGTACACTCACCGCCGCGACGTGATGCTCCGGGCCTGCGACAAATTCCTGCCAAAGGACGTGGTGAGCTGGAAGCCGCCCATGGCAGGCATGTTCGTAAGTGATTCTTGACAGAGCCTCTATTCGAGAACTATCGTCACTAACAATGGCTAAGCACTGGCTTCAAATCGACTGGCGCAAGCACCCTCACGCGTCCACCAAGTCGCTCACCGAGCTGGAAGACGAAATCTTCCAGCTCATCATCGAACACGGCGCACTCGTTATGAAGGGCAGCTGGTTCTACGCCGAGCCCGATGCCGCCCACGACACCATGTTCTTCCGCGCCACGTTCGCTGCCGCTCCGGCCGACAAAATTCAGGAGGCCATCCACCGCCTTGGCGACGCCATCAGGGAGAGCTTCAAGCTCAAGAACTGAATTTCGATCTTTCCTTGAAAATATTTAAGCGATGTACAGCATTTTGATGCTTCCAATGACTCATGAGCACTCGCCATGTTATACATGATTTCTTTGACCTGAGCGCTTGGTATCCTTTGGATGGATAGATTGGTTGGCAAATGTGTTACATAGAATTGGAATTTGACTACTTTTTTGGGATACAAGGTCGTGACGTCGGAAGGAAGAAACAGTGACGGGGATATCTAGTTGATGAAGTTGACGCAGAAAAAGTGCAGAATCACGCTGCCGAAGATGTAATCTGCGAAGGCACTGCAAGGAAGCTGTGTCAGCCGTTGCCAGGGTGTCGGGCCAAAATGTCTGATGGACAGGATTGCCTCTTCTTCCAAGAGTCACATACCGCTCGTGCGAGATGCTCTCAAAGTCTGCCTTGTTTTCCGGGTTGGTCTGGATACGCAAGCTCGCCGTGAGCACAAACTGGCCAACGGTGGCCGAAAAGCCGGAGAGGAAGGCGTTGAAGGGCTGTCAGAAGCATCAATTAGCCCTCGAATCCAGCATGAAGATCCTTCTGTCCCCGACGTTGCCAATCCATCTATCCATCCACCTATTCATTCATTTCATTCAATCCTCCCCTCTCGGCCACACCCATCTCAATCCAAACCCCCACGAGAAAGACTCGACTTACGTAGTTGCCGCCAATAACGCAATAGACGAACTGCAGCGCGCCCACGACGACCAAAAACGCCATGAAGACGTCGAGGAGCTTGGTGCGCTGGTCCGTCTTGGCCTGGTAGTTGCGCCACACGCCAGCAGCAATGGCCTGCGCGTCGTTGCCCTGGATCTTTGCCTGCCCGGACGCAGAGCTCGCCGCCTTGGTCGCCGAAGGAGGAGGAGCAGTGTTGGAGCCCGCGGCGCTAGGGAAGCCGGACGTGGCTGCGGCGGCGGAGGGAGGTGCCGCGGCGGGACTCGTGGCTTGTTTGCGGGGCGGCATGGTCGAGGGACGAGAGAGAGAGAGAGCAGGAGGATGCTAGACGACGGCTGGTGGGACTGGAGGCAAGGTGGTGTCGAATTGGTGCCCTCACAGTTGTGGTGATGATTGCTGGCTGGAGGGTAGTCTAGATTGAGGCCAGTTGGACGGAGACACACCTTGGGAGCTCGGGCCAGGTGCATGCGCGGCGCCCGCCCACACTGCTCCGCTAAGCGGTGAGAGAGGCGGCGGAAAAGCTTGGCCGGGCAGAAATTCCGCTGCGGGCGGGGGGCGGGACGGAGCTGTAATCGGGACCTGAGCGTCATAGAGCGAGCGGACCCCCCGAGGCTCTAGAAAGCTCCGGGCTGAGCTATATGTCAGCTGCAACACCTCCTCTCAGCCTTCACCTCGTCTTCTCTGCGCGACAAAGAAACCATACCGAAAACATCGACGTCAATTGATTCTCCAATAATTCTCTCTGCACCCGCGCAACAAATACACCATGGTATGGCACACACGACCTGCCCCGCGTCCCA